AATCTGAATCCCTGAACTAAGCAGAAAGTGAGAAGTAAGTATGAATGGCAGAGAAAGGCAATTGTTGAAAAGCGCATACCCTTAGCAGCAAAAGAAATTCTTTTGCAGTAAAAAAAGTCAAAACGTTGGCAGAACAAAACTAGAGGTGCTGTATTAGCAAAAAACTGAAAGAACAAGCAAAGCACCAAGTAGTAGAGGGCAGAGGATGGACAAGTATTTGGGTATTAAATAAGAGCAATAGATTTGTAGGGTAAGAAGACAAGATCTAGGAAGAAGGAAAGAGAAAGGTGAGCATCACGAGAAAAGAAACAGCTGGCTGCAAGCACCATCAGGAGGCAGAAGTTACTTGGTGGGAGTGAGCAGAGGAAGGACTCAGTGAAGCCCCGCAAAGGGAAGTGGCACACTGGCTCGCGGATGAAAGGAAAGGAAAAGGCGAGGCAGGCAGGACAGAGGATCTCAAACTGCTGCTCCTCTCCTGGTCATTTTTATAAGATCAAAGAATGGGTGCATCCTGGGAGGACCAGAAGACCTTTGATGTAATGGTAGTTTTGGCAAGACACTACAGAAGCAAAACAAGGGGAAAAGAAAGTATTAACCCTTAGATTCAAGATTTCCTAAACATTCATACACACAAAGTACGAAAATAATGAATTAATCTCAAGAGCTAACAGCAAGATTTACTTATTGATGGAAGGCACATTGAGAGATAGAGTGAGCATGTTAAAATGGATGGTGTCAGGCACTTACATAATCTCTCTGTGAAATGTATTGGGTATTGTCATCCTTCCAATTCTTCTTTTAAATTGGATGATAAACCAGAAAACTGATGCAAATTTGAGCCTGCTACTACAGAGAATAATCTAATAGCTGAGTGCATGCAGACAGAAATTTGTTTTACTGTTATTCAAAACCTTACTTTCTTCAACATAAAAATGAGTTACAAGACACAGAAATGTTCGTTCTGAAAAGGAAACTCATATTTAATAACAATTTTGCCAGATACTTACAGCATTACTGGAGTTAACCTAGATTTATGGACATTGTAACAAAAATTTGAATTGTGTCCAGAAAAGTCAGATCCAAGTATTCTAAGAAAGTTGTAACCTCACTTCTGGGTTCTCTACAGAAAGCAGTAAACTGTTTTATTGATCAAAGGATATAGAACGCATATGTTCACTGGAATAACTTGAGGATGTGGTTGATTTCAAATTAAATTTTGCAGTCTTTTAAGTCAGACTAGTACTGCTAAGGCAGAGGAATATGACTTGCAGAGTATGCTCACAAAGAACAGTGGGTAGTTTATAGAAACCCACTGAAGTCACAAGCACAGCATAGTAACAGTGTACACCTATAAAATGCATCCTGACCTCTTTATGAGAAATACATACACTTCCCATTGTAGCCACATCTCAGAATACAAAACAGATTTTCCCCCAAAAAAGTCATACACCTTTTTCTGTAAATAACATAGATCCAAATCCTGTATGTCAGAACTAAGCTACACTCAAGAATAAAGTAAATCACCTTATTTAAAGATAAAATCATACTCATTCTCATAAAATGTCAGACTACATAATTGATTACTAAAGTAACAAAGAAAATTACTTGTTAGTAGCTATGAAATAATTAAATTCACTTCATTAAACAGCATTAAACTAAAAAAAAGAGCCAAACACATAACCTCTAGGTACCCAAAACCTCAGTTTTGCCTGTACTTGTTACCCTGGCACTTCTCAAGAGTTGAAGGATTATTCCAGAGAACACCTTGATTCTTCAGCTCCTTTTAGATTCACTAGGGAGTCTGTCTAATTAACCCTGTTCTTCCTTCTTACCTTCCAGCTTCTGCTCCTATCCTCCACTACCTATTGAATCATATTGCAAAATTGATTCGATTGAAGAAAAAGAGCCAAAAAATCCCAAAGCTTCTTTGATGGGTAGTATTTTTTCTCAGGTTCCTTAAGGGAGTGATCAGATCATGCGTCATATCTTGAAAGAGGGTGGTAATACAGCACTTTTTTTGGGAACCAGGAGTTGGCTAAGGAAATAGAAGACCCAAGAAACTGTCTGGCACAGTAAACAGGAGATGGAGCTTCCAGCTCAAACAGACTGCTGAGAGGAGAAGGAGCTGACAGGGCTCAGAGATGAGGCAATGGACCCCGTAGTTTGCAGCAACTCACAAAATCACTGAGTTAGATTAAGGTAGGCCTGGAAGGCTTATTCACCCAGAGCTCTAAAATGAATCTGAAAGGTTTGGGTTACATTTCCTTCCCAATTTTTTTTATTAGCTAAATTGCCAAGTTCATCACATGGCCGCTACAACAATTTTACTGGCAAGTGTAAGACTTAGAAGTGAGCAGATTGTAGAGAAAGGGAGGAGTGTAGGAGAGTAGTTCTGGAGACCTGATGTTTTCCTATGCATTTTGTATAGTGTATGGGCGCGCGTGCGCGTCTCTTCCCTTCTTTTTCACCTTCTTGTATCTTGCATCTTGTGAATCTCATGAAGCATCACTGTCAAAATTCTAAGAAAATGCTTTTTGTACACAATTTAAACATTTTTTTCACTAAGGACTCTGTTTGAATTTAATACCTTACATCTCTATTCCATTTCCATTTTCTATAACCTGAATCATCACAAAATACTTAACTGGTACTTTTTTTGATGTCATGCTCTGAGCATTCAAATAACAGTTGATACGAAAATTATACAAATATATAAGTATCGTAACTACTATGTACTCATAAATGCTACACAGATATACAGCTATGCAGACATACACACTAGAAATTTAAAGATTCTTAAGGATCCCTTAAACAGTAAGCCTTATTCATTCTTTTACTCAAGGTCTTTTCTATCATAGCTCATCCTGACACATTCAGACTGTGTGAGCATTACTCCTCTTTTCTAGATCAGTGAAGGGGGGAGAGGAGAGAGAGAATGCTGCCATCCTCAGAACTAAAACAGAGATATAAAGGTTAAACCCACTTATTATTTCAAAGCATTCACATCAGCAATCTAACATCTGACTTTTGAATATACTTAGCAACTACAGATAGCCAAAGCTCCCACTGAATTTAGCTATTAGTAAATTGCATTTCTGTAAATCAGGCCTCAAAAATCACAAAATCAGACACCCAGAAAATGAGAAACACAAAGTAATTAAACATATTTGAAAAATTCAGTTTAAGTTATTTGCCTGACATCACAGAGGAAGTTTATGGCAAAAGTAAAATGAATGCCTTGGGAGTATTCAGCAACCTCAGTGATGACCATACTTGTCATGTTAGCAATCTCAGGGCTTAACACTACATATCTTCTTAAATCAGCAATAACATAATATAATAATGGCCAGTCTTCGCGAGCGAAGATTTGGGAAAGGTCATTAACCCTTCGAGCCTGCGCAGTGGATTTTTTAGGTGAGACACAGCGTGCGCTGAACTGAGCCCACCCTTTAATCCTGAGGTTCATCTGCCGGGGCCAAGCAAGCTTGGACAGTGGCAGTGAGGTCCCCAGGACGTAGGTAATTGATATATTATAGCAATAACAAGAGTGCTAGGATTTAGCATCACAAATTTGTATTCATGAGTCACCTACCAACTTGCATTAAGAAAGAAAATTATATTTTACTGATAATAATCCTTTTCTTCTATCTGAGCAGTAACTTACAAATCTTCCTTTTAAAAGTGGGAGAGATTGGAAGCATAAAAATGAAAAAAGCTCCATAAAAAATAGAAACAAACACTGTCACAAAATATGGACTGAATTTGCATGATCCTGTGCTATTTGCAAGCAACTATCCTCTGCCTGTGTCAAAATGGCTGTGGGAGCAGAAAGGACAAGGAATTTGCAGGCAGTTTAACTCATGGTTTGTGAGAAATGGCTGACAGTGGATACATGCCTGACTGGTTGTCATGTAAGCAAACCATGAATAAGAGATGACCCTGAACAGAATTAATGTCCTGTTGACACTCTTGACACTCACATAGCACTATGTGAAGTGCCAGGACATTGAATGCAAGCATCAGCTTCCTACTTCCATAAGGCAAGATTTCCAGCATGACACTTTGAATTCCAAAGGGCCTTTTATGAGTGAATGCATGCATTTTAAGATGTTGAATATATTTTAAATATATTTTTGAAATCAAAAACTGTTTTCAGAGATGTACAAACCATCAGAGAGAACAAAATTATAATTTGCACTGGTAAATTTTAGAAGTTTATATTTGCAGTATTGATAATGTCTCAGTAGTGGTTTCTTTAGATGAAATTTTCTGGATTGCTCATGAAAAGAAACTATGGGCCTGATACATACAATTCGTGATGTATTACTGGGCATTCATATATAAGAAGAAAGCCTTGTTCAGAAATTATAGGACAAGCTGAGCGCCATTCCAGCTATTCCACCTGACAGAGTTACTAGCTTGGGACATCTGGATAATCCAGCTCCATTCATGGCATGTACAAGCATGAAGTTTTGTCCTTCAAACTTAGGATCTTATTAAATTATATTCATTAATGATTAAAATTATATTCCTTTATGGTTTTAGTTGCAATGTTGATATGGGCAGATTAACTGATTCTGTTTGCACCTCCCAGTCCAAAAAAGTAAGTACATGTAACGGTTACTGAAATAATTAGATCTATCTAATATATATGGATCTCAATCATTAGAAGTGTTAGAAAAATAACATCTTTTGTATGGATCAAATTTACAACATTTCTCTCCCCAGGGATGGGATGAGGACTGAACTGCACAGAAAAATTACAACACTGAAATACACTGTATTTCATATAATGAATGCAAAAATACTGTAGTAAAAACCTACACAGAAAGGTGCAGGGTAAAATTATCGCATCTCCTCTTAAAAGTAAAATGACAGCTGAAACCCCAGAACTGCAACCTTTTTTTAAAAAAGTATATAAAAACAATATTTTTCATAATTTAGACAAATTATCAGCAATGTCATTGTGATAGGTTTGGAAATTAATTTAAGAAACTTACCATTTCCAAGGTCATAATACGTTCCTAAAAATAAAGTAGAAGATGCCATTAGAAAGCAAAGAATATAAACACAATGTAAGTCAAACAATGATGAATAGGATTAATTTTGGTTTTTTGGTGGTCATATGTACAGTTTTTTGTAATAATCTCACTGAATAGGAACTGTTGTACTTAACTGGATGTCTAATCTATTTATCATACTTACTTAGAAATTTGTTCTAAAAAAAAAGAAACTCCCTAGAAACAAGGAAAGGATTTGAAAAAAATTACTCCAAAATATATTTTTTTCAACTAGTATATTAGGTTTTCAATACTGTTGATTTTACTCTCATGTATACAAAAGAATTATTTCTTTTTTTGATCATCTCTGATTTTAAATCTAGCATGTTTTGGAGTTCATGTCATGTTAGCATCTGGTTTAGTTTTCTTTTAGGCATTTCCTTAGAAAACTAAAAAGTAAATTCCATATCGTTATTCTTTTATCCAGAAATAGCTCTGAATAATGTTTTATTAATAACAGGATGACGTTAGTCATAGTCTCATGTCAGACAAAAATAAACTACAAATAAAATAAGCTTGTGTCAATTCTAATCCAGCACAGGATACAGAGAAACCAGAATTTGCAAATTTACTGTATATATTTTAATATTATTTTTCCATTTAAAAGTATCTTTAAGAGAAATATTAAACTATCAAAATCAAGGTGGTGTACTCTGGCACTATATACTGACTAGGTATGGTATTTTAAGCAACCTGACAAAACACACATTCAAGTGTTTAGGTGACCCCACATTTAGAGTGCATAACCATTACAGGAACTCTTACCTTGCTCAAATATTACTCAAATTTTTCTCATGAAAGGTAGTGTATGACATGCTAGAGTCTTTATTCTTTCATAGGAGATCTGAGAAACAGACTGAGTATTTCTGTACATCAGAACAAACTTCTGACAAAAAATGTTATGTGGAAAACTCAAAAATATTTATTTTGAGATGTTTGTTCTTCCACAAAATTGCAGTGGCTGTTACAGACACCCATATTTATTTAAAGATTCTGAAACGAAACTCAAACTCATTACTATAAAAAGATGTTAATTACAGATCTCATAAATTTGTGGCGATAACGAACAGCGATTCAGATATAACTTTCTTCAGCTAAAGAGGACTACTTTGAAAATAAAGTCTTAGAGTGAGTGTATCAGTAGGATGATTTAAATGGTAGAATAAAGTGTTTTCAAAATGACTCATACATTAAATAAAGTGCCTGATCTACTTGCCAAATTCTAAAAATATAATAAATTCTTACAACCTCAGTAGACAATTTTATGAAGACCAATCTAATCTAATCTATTAGTAAATTTACCACGGATCATTTATACACTATCAATATATTTTCCAATTAAGACTCTATTTTTCAAATTCCTATTAGCATGTCACTAATTCGAAAGCAAAAGAAAACGGCTTGCAAATGTTTTTGCAGAGAGTATAATTCAGTTGAATATTGTAATTACCATGTCATGCACAGCATATTATTTTCATTAATCCAACCTTTTGTACCATGGAACAGCTTTGACAAAAAGAAAGGTGAAAACCTTAAGTGTTTTTTCTTCCACCAAAGTAAGAAAATAAGAGAGGTTATATTCTTGGAGTGGTGAAACTCTAGTCAAAAGTATGCAATAAGTTCAAAATGAAAATCCAAGAATACAGTAAAGTCACACAAAGAGTCAGCCTCCTACCTCCCAAATACCCTGTACCAAAGAACCGCAGTGTCCATCTTGACACATAAGGCAAGTCAGGTTCATTTAGAAATATGTAGTTATAAAAATTCTCACTGTCTACTTAATGAGGTATTATTTTGTCTTGTCATGCTAGTTGCAGCCCAACATACTCCCTGACTAGAGGAACACAAGAAAAAACTACTAGCCCAATATTTCCAGGAACAAGCCTCATAGAACTGCTTTTTTCTTTCAGTCCTTTGCAGATTTCAGCTGATGGCATTGTAGCACTAATTGTACTTAATTCCAACTATTTTTAACAAAAGGTGCTTTTTGTCCCCCCTCAAAAAATAAGCAAACTGAAAGAATAATAAAACACATAACCTTAGTTCTAAGGAATATGATGCTGAGACATGGCAGAGAACACCATGGTATCCCCAGTCATAATTTTCCCACAGCAACACACTGATTTCTGACAGATTTCCTCATGTCTCTAGGTTTTCTAAGACTGTGGTCAACGTTCATGGCTCAAGTAACAAGAAAAAACTTCCTAGGTAATGACAGTCTGCTTTGAATGCTTTGAATTGTCTGTCCATAATGTCTAAAACGTACAATCTTTCTACCCGCCTGTTTCCCAAACATGCTTTACACATATGGTCTATTTGGAATGCAAACAGAACAGAGCAAGGACTGACTTTCTTCATATACTTCTCTGTATTTATAAGTAATTATCAAACCAGAATCCCTGGAATTGTAGATGAAAAAAACCCACAACAACAATCAACATGACCAATTGTCTACTGAACCAAGGACTCTAACTGAGTAGGACCTCATATTAAGGGAATTCTATCAATGGACTGGAGGCTTTGGGGGAAGGAGTAAGATTTTATTTGCTAGTAGCCCTTAATTTGACAAACTAGTACCTTCTAGCAATCTACTTCAATGAAAGCATTCATACATTAACCAACTATACACATGCTTTGCTTAAGTGGGGCTCAGAGAATAAAAATGTTCCACATCATCTGGATTAACAAGAGGATAAGAAGTTTCAGCTCCTGGAAATGTCATATTTAAAAAAAACTCTCACTTTCCTCTTCGTTCCTATGAAGATGCAACAGTTTGGGGAGATTCAGTCTTGATGACACAAGTTGGTTTTAACAACCATTTGCTAGTAAAGTTGTATATATTTGATCACTGCAAGTTTAGAATACAACATTACAAGAACAGAGGGGAATATTTTGACACACATTGACTAAGCTGGATGCTATACTATCTAGAAAAATAATAGATGTTTTTGCTGAGTACTTTGTGAATGCATGGATAACTGAAGGAAGAAAAAAACTGTTATCAAGCATTTGAATACAAAAATAGCAGCCAGAGCACTACAATTCACACACTTAACCAGAACTGCCAGTTAGGGAAGGGCATAAGGTAATTTAGTTTTACATACCATCAGAAATACAGGCAGGCACATATATCCATACAAGACACGATTATGATGCAACTTCCTGCAGTATAAAATTACTCCTCATTCAATCAGAACTCATATCATTAGAACAATTTGTCAACCATAAAGGTTCACATGAAAGCAGATGCAGAATTGCTTCACATGAAAGGAGATCTTTTTACATTGATGTAACTAGATATGCACCTGTGTAAACTGCTTGCGCAGACAAGCTCTCAGCCTTGTTGAACTTGAGCTGCCAGAAAGCCAGGCCAAGATTTTTGTTTGAACAGGAAACAGCTGGATTGGTGTGTTGTGTAACTTTTGGGCCTTGCAACTTGTCTTTTCTTACTGGATCAAACTATTTGTTCACTCTTTGATACCTCTAGCTCTCAAAATGCCTTCTATTTATTATATGAGAAGGGTTACCTTCAAACAAATTCCTATGATCAAAACTCAGTCAATACATAACTTCATTTTCCTTATGAGCCTTATCAATTCCCTCGCAAATGTCCTGCTTTCAGTACACTTGCAGAATGCTGCCTCATGGATACACTCTTCATATTGTATATAAACTTATTTTTATATCCGTGTTGTTTGCAGTAATTTGGTGTTAAAAATTTCTTTTTTAACTTCTGCATTCTGAAGGATATATACACTACCCTCCCTAATAGTCTCCTGAGCCTCACAGCTCAGACATTCCAGCCCAGTTTTGCTTTCTTAGCCACTTCAATTTGAAAGGAGTATGTTTTCTTTGACTGTAATGCTTAAATACTATTCCAAAGCTGAGCTTAGGGTAGATCTGACTTTCTAAGCGCAAATTTAAAGTGCTTAGCACAAACAGCTTCACTGCTAGATGACATACAATGAGACTTTATTATACTGTATCAAGTCCTAGCATAAATTGACTGGTCCCTTCTTCCTCAGGAAGGTGATTATGGACATACACTGTTTTAGAGACTTTAAATACTTACTTAAAGCATTTTACTTTCAGTTTTATTCAGAGATATAAAAGAAAGTAACACAGCCCAGAGAATTTAACTCAAGTAGTGAAGTAGACTATGCAGCACTTTTGCAGTTCGCAATGCAGATTAGCACTGCCTGCCCCCATTCAGATACAGTTTCAGTGAAGCCAGCAGAATAACATAACAACTTTAGTATATAGTGTGATTTAAAAGCAACGTTACATTCGCTGGTAGACTAGACTGACAGACTCATAAGAGAATGCTGACTACTTCAATCTTCGCTAACGTGCAACTTAACTGGCGGGCAAAACCTCAGCAGTGAGTATAACTAGCTATTGTATCTCTATTTGTCTGTGTATATTTCCAAATCAGAATTTAAGCTACAAGGGAGTTCAGAAAATCGTAATGCTGTAATACAATTTGGTAATTTTAAGGGTGAACAAAGAGGTAGCTAGTTAATTGAGCAGAAAATATACCTGGAGAGCTCCCATTTCTTCCTCTCTTCTGTGTGTCTTCTCTAGTAACTCTGCAAAATGAAAAAAAGTTGTAAATTCACCTTCCTGTCTCATGGCCTGATAGAAAAAGTACTGTGTAAAATAGTCATTGAGGTTTTTATTTTACACCCTTCACAACACTCCTTTTCAGCGGAATAAACTATTAGATTAAATGTATCAGTGATATGACTGTTTCCAGGCACGGGTTGTTGAGGTGGCTGAAAATAGCCACAAGGACACAAAGAAGACAGCCTGACTGGGGGAAAAAACACCATTTAAATTCACAAAGAAACTTTTCTATGCTTAAATCAATCTTCTGGTGTATTTTTAGAATTGAATGAAAAAAATCAGAGATTCACTCTGAAAATTGATTAAAGCAGATCATCAAAGCTATGCAATTATATATGAAAAGTTACTGTATGTTACTGCAGACAATTTTGACTGTTATGACAATAATTACCTTTTCTTACTAAAATGAAATAGTTTTGATAAGGGAAACAGTTCACTCTGACAAAATAGTAGAAAAGCTTTTTATAGTTTTTACACAATAAAATCCTAATACCCTGTATTGCCACTAATGTGACAATTACAGACATTGGCACATACATGCACACATGTAACACTTCACATTATAAATTAATTTTGTTTGAGTTCTGCAGGGTATGTCACGAGTTGCTTTTCTACTTTATTTTATGCACATATTTTTATGATTAAAATCATGTTTTTGATAAATTGCAACATGTTTAGAATTCTGGGAAACCTTGAAGTTATAACTTTATGAAGAGCAGGAAAAACAAAAAAACATGCTGCAGGCTTATTAATCTTTCAACTATCAGAAGTTTGCTCATAAGCTTTGTACGTGAAGAGCATTGCTTTATCTAACCCAGAGACTGACTCTGAATTCAGATAAGTTCCAGTTTGTTAGCAATTAGGAGAGTTATGAGATTATGAAACTCCCTGGACAACCTCACAGGACTGAATTCTGACTGTCAAGTCCCTCAGGATCCAAGTACAGAACAGCTAACTGAAAGTACCTGTGTTTACTTCCTTAAGAAATAAAGATTACCAATACTTGCATAGTTCGGTCATAAAGAAGCTTCAATGATTTACAATACAAAATATCCCACTGACATTAGAGATATAAAGGAAAGGAGACAAATTAATCTACTCTTTCTCTCATTATGAAGCCTCACTGTGAGCACCCCAATCTGTTAGCTCTTTTCTCATAGTTCATTATTAATTTCTGACTGCATGCAGATTATTTGATACTTGTTTCCAGACACTAGTCCTTTAAAAGCAACGTAGATAACATGAAAAAAAATGTAGTTAATTCTTTCACAAGCAGATATTGACTTGCTGTTCTTTTTTCCTAGATTCCACGCATTTTTTTTTCAAATCCTTTCTTAAAATTAATAAAGTTGTTCATTTTCACTTTGTTTTGGTAAACTTATGTTTTTCTGGACTATTCTTTGGTATGCTTTTCAGTCTGGTCATTCAACTGCCATATAAATTACCATAGCCAAATGTGCCATCACCAACATTAGTTAATGTGACAATTTTGGGTTGAAAACAGTCTCTAGATCTGAAAGTTTTGCGTCTGACATCAGGGTTATCTAGAATCCATTTACTTAATTATAGCACTGCCTAAATTGGTTGTCCTGCAGGATGCTTCAAAAAACTCTGTCCCCAGAAGGGCAGGTAGGTATTGAAGTAGTGGTATTTAACTGACAAAACATACACCTACTGTACAGTCACCATTTAAATATAATCAAGTTCTGCATTTAAACTGATGCTTCCATTTAGTACTCCATCTAAAATAATAGCATGATTTCTCCAAACCTAAAGCAAAAAAATAAATATTAAAGCAATATATATTAAACAGCTATACAAAAAGTCCCATAAAAATACAGCATATTACATCATTCTTTTGGACACTGTTATTTATAATGACAGAACAACTTTGCTTACTTGATCTGAAAAGCTCTGTTGATTTGTTTTAAAATTATAAAAACACTTCCCATATTTAATTTCTTGTGCAAGCATGTTTTATGTCATCAGTGCCAGAAAATAATGTTGCAATAAATTTGAGACAGAGAATGCATTGTGTCTGCAACAGACTAAAGATGGTCACTAGCCCTAGTGGAGGCTATGAACAGCCTCTGAGTTTCTATAATTATAACTTTTTTCCTAAAGGAGATTGCACAGTGGCATGGGTCGCTAAAACAATCCTGCTATCGCCATCTTTCAAGGCCTAATGTAGCCATAGGATTCTTGTTGGTTTTTTTCTAAGCAATATATCCTTATTCTCATGGGAGACAGAACACATAAATCTATAAATCGTCTAGAAGAATGAGCATTAATGAGAAAGCATTATAAAGGCATTGATGGCTCTTCCCAAAAGATGAATAATATATGGAAAAAGATAACAAGAGAAATGAGATGTAGAAATAAAGATATTCCCTTTTTTTATTTCTAACTAAATATGAAGTTAACTAAATATGATAATAATGGCCAGTCTTCGCGAGCGAAGATTTGGGAAAGGTCATTAACCCTTCGAGCCTGCGCAGTGGATTTTTTAGGTGAGACACAGCGTGCGCTGAACTGAGCCCACCCTTTAATCCTGAGGTTCATCTGCCGGGGCCGAGCAAACTCGGACAGTGGCAGTGAGGTCCCCAGGACGTAGGTTTGTTTAGAGTGACCTTCTCTTAGATGGATTGCCTTACCAGGCTGACGAGCTCCATCTGCCCGGGGGGCCGGGAATCGAACCCAGGTCGCAGCGGTGAGAGTCCTGCACCCTAACCACTAGACCACCAGAGGCCCACTAAATATGAACTATAAGCTAAAACTATTAAAAAATCAAATGTTTTACATGTTTAATACCACTCAAAATCACCAGTAAGTTCAGAATATTGCCTGCAAAATTAGGGATCATACTTTTGTGTAGTTTTACAAAAACAATTTATTTACAGTGGTTAAATTCCAGATCCAGATGTAAAGATTATATCTCATTAAGCTATGTATCAGTGAACACCAACTAAGTGTCTTTCAAGTTATACTACACTGGCTTAGATTTAACAGATCAAACTTCCAGGAAAAAAACAGATTTAAAACATTCTGAAAGAATCATTATCTTTTGCAGTTTGCCTGTCACTGGACCAACACAGTATGTGGCAAAATACTGCAAATATTAACCTGGAGATGAAGATTTTATATTCCATCATAACATTCGGATAAGTGAGGAAAAAAAGGGTATGCAGCTATTCAGGCAGACTTTTTTCCACACACACATACCCCAGTTGTAATTTTTACTGCTGGTGAAAAGTATCAAAAAATAGATTTAGGAGCAGATATTTGTTGATTGGAATCAGTAAAATACAATAGTACTATCTTATTTATTCTAGCTGATCCATTAATGTGCCAATAACTAACTAGAATGGTTAAACTCCCTCATGAACTGGAATGTTCGACTTCTTTACATCTGTGCTGGGTGTAACAAGAGTGGGAAACAGGACATGGACTTTATTCTACCTGGAGCAGCAACTTCTTGATTTCAAACACTGCATGACCTCCCATTTTAAGCAACTGAAGATAATGATAGACAACATTCTGCTTCACATTCTCAGAGAACACTGATGTGCCAGAGAAAAGTCTACAAATTGGATCAATAACACATTTTTATGTTCACATTGTTCTGGCAAAGGGGAATGCACAAATACAGAACTATACACAGAATCAGTTCTTATAGTCACAAATATCTACTCATATAGTGAAAAATGCTACAATATGATTCAGAGTACTCTGAAGTTGACATTCGTACTTAAATTCAGTTTTGCTTACATAGATAATATGCTGTAAACTACCCCAATATCTGCAGGCTGCATGTAGATCTGATTTAAGACACTCACCTCCTGAAGCAATTGCAGATCATGCAGGAAAATATGAAACAATTCATATAGCACAGAAAATACTGCTACTATGCAGCATTAAAGCAAGAAATCCAGGTTATTTTTAGGAAAAAAATGGCAGTTTGGAGAAAATTGTCAACACGTTTTTTGCATCATCAAGCTAAGAACAGCTCTTCTCCAAAACACAAGTCAGGGTTTTCAGTTATACATTAAAACTATTATGGATTTCCCAAACTTTGTAACCCAGATATTGATGTTTTAAGTTACATAAGTGTATAGCAAATCCCTGAAAAATAATTTTGTTAAGACACTCTGATCATATTATCTTTAAATTTGCTTTGATTCAAAATCATAATTTTTTTTAATGTCAAGTATTTCCTATCATTTTCACTTCCAATACACATCCCATGGGTTTCAGTCATCATTTGGATGTTTCCCACAATGCTACTGAACAGATACTGCACCATTCCGGGAGATGCACAAGGCAGCCAGGCAGGTTTCAATCCAGTATGAAGGAATTTTCAAGCAGCTGAATAAACCAGTTTCTCTCAGCTAGAAATTACTAATCTTGCACACATGTACACAGCCAAGTTTAATCACATATTATACCACTTACAAGTTTGTCCCTTCACACAATGAATCTGACATGAAGGCCCTGTTTTGAGGGGTGAATCAAGATGTTTCTAATTCAACCAGTTTAAACAAAGTGTTTCGGAATGGATATATTCATGGATAGTAGAGGCAGAACAACTGCAATTTTGCCCTGTACCTGTGTTAGGTTGTGATGAATGGCAACTGTCACAGTTCAAAAACATTCAATACTAAAAGATGTTTCAATGAGGCTGGACCCTCGTACTATCAGGCTAGACACCAGAAATCACCCTGGGACTAAAATAACGGAGATGTAAAAAAACAGTACTGGTATGTGCTTCAAACTATTTTAATTGAAACAGTACTTGCCATGCATGCAAACCATTAAGATAATTTCTACATAAACATATTATTTTAAAGAGCTCTAGAGAAATAGGTATTTCTTAGAACCTTAATTTTTGTTAGAGTAAAACAAGGACAATAAATTATGAGCATTTCAGAATGCATTTATGTAACCCCAAGCAAGATTTAAAAAA